TCATTTGTCCTATATTAGGCCACAAAGAAAATCTCAAATTTTTTTCAGAAAATTGATAGCATGTTCACAGGCCACAGTGCAGTAAAATTAAAAACCCACAACTAGAATATTAGTTAATTACACGGCTGGAAAGTCAAAACTTTCAAGTTAAAGAGGAAGTCACAATAGAAACTGCCAACTATTTAGAACGGCATGAAAATGAGGGTACTACGAAACCCAAGGGATGCAGCCAAAGCGCTGCTGGAGGAAAACGTGTAGCCTTGAACTTACACATTCAAAAGCAGTGGCTGCAGGAAAGCCTCGCGGGAGGAGCGTCCCCAGTGAGTGGAAGGAAGGGTGCAGGGTGGTCTGGTCGGCCTGGTCTCGTCCTCACCCGCCCAAGCTTGGTTGAGGCCTCCCTCCCCTGGGAAGCCTTCTTTAAGGCTCCACAGTCTGGGTTGGGTGCCCTGCCCCCAGTTCCCAATGTGCACCTCTGGCTTTGCTTTTGTGGTACTGAATTGTAATGCATGGTCAGCCTTTTCTCTTCCCCACTAGAATTTGAACTTCAGTGAATGGGCTGTTTTCTTTGGTTCTATGTCCTTAGTATTAGCACATAAGAAATCGGAGCTAGTAAATGATCATTGAAGAATACATGACCAGATGGCCTCTAAGGATCCTTTCAACTCAGACATCTCTCTTTGAACAGGGAAGAGGAAGTTACAACCTTGAGGGTGGTTGGGGTAGGGGGATATCCTAGGACTGAGGGTCAGAGGAGCTCCCTGCTCAGCACGGTGTCTTCATGGATGGCGGGGCTCCAGCCTGCTTCATTTGAGCCTATTTCCCCATCTGGCACTGCCCACCACTCCCCCCAGGGGCATCCTGCGTGCATGTTTCTCACCCAGTCTTGGGAGCGCTCAGGCTGTGTGCCCCAGGTGTGCAGACGTGGCCTTCTGCTCAGTCAGGTCAGCGCCTCCTGAGCTCTGCTGGCTGCAAGGCGTGTGCCAGACAGCTAATAATTTTTAAAACTTTATTTTTTTTTCTATTCACTGGTTTGTTATAACTAGAAATGCCCTGCATACCGAAGTGTATGAAGTAAAACTGGCCATTACCCACCTGCCATTGTTAACAGTTTAAGGTATATTCTTGTACTTGCTCTGCTTGTATGTACACACACACACACACACACACACACACACACACACACACTTTTTTAAAAAGTGAGACTAGACTACATGTGCTATTTTGCAACTTAAGCTTTTCACTTAAGGTACACCTTAGAACTCTGGACCTATCAGATTCTTTTTAACAGCTGCATGATATTCTGTTGCTTGACTGCACGGCGATGTGTTTGAATATTTAGATAGTTTCTGATACTTTACTCTTAGCAGGCAAGTCTACAATGAACATTACTGCACTCATATGTCTCTGTAGAACATTCCCTACAAGTGGGATGGCTGGGGCAAAGGGCCTGTGCATTTACTTGCCAGATTTACCTTTGAAAAAGTTGTATTCCCCCCAGCAACGTCACACTGTCACAGCACTGGCTATGAGCAGTCATTACAATTTTGCCAGTCTACTGAGTTAAAAAAAAAAAAATGCTACAGAAATCAATTCTAATTGAGGAGCTGAAGATAGCACTGGAACTGAGACATGAAGCATAATAGCGATTAATAAAAGGGAGAGGATCCTTTATAAAGTAGATATAACCTTGGAAAACTGGAGAAGGGTGTGCCAGTGGAGAGGGAATGGCTTAAGAGAATGCCCTGAGGGGTTGGGGGTCGTGGTGGGATTTCTGGCCAAGCACAGAGGCTGGAACCCAGCCCTGGGAGGCCCTGGTGCCAAGCCAGCAGCAGGGGCTTTATGCTGAAAGATGTCTCAGGTTTTTCAAGCAGGATATCTCTATTGTACCCAGGATTTAATTTATAGAGGTGACAGTGACAATATAGTGAGGCTAGTGCCCCTGAAAGATTTTTACTACTGCCGCTTTCCAGGAAAAGGGGGCACATCACACCCCACAGGGCCGCATGTGGAGCACCAGGTTTGGACAGGAGGCAGGAGGGGGCAGGAGGAGCACAGGCCACAGCTCTACCATGTTTCCCGTGGGAGAAGCAAGGCAGGGCAGGGGGAACAGCTTAGGACTGGCTGGTTTGAATGTTGGTGGGCTCCAGGCTGTAGTTATCTGGCCCCTCGCCCTGAGTCCTGGCCCTGAGTGAGCAGAGGAAATACTGGCTTGGTGGGGGAGAGTTAGACAAAGGAAGTAGCTGGGTAAAGGTGTGCTCACAGGGGTGTCATTTACAATCTTAGCAATCAGCCCTGGGAGGAGCAGTTTCTCCTCACCCAGCCAGGCCCCTACCAAGAAGTTAAAACATCATAAAATACAGAAAATAAAAAACATGACCAATATGCAGGGGCGTGTTGTACCTAAGAGCTGCTGAATACGAAGTGGAGTGTGAGTGTGAGGGAAACCACCTGTGCCCCCTCCTCCTGCAGAAAGCCAACAAAGGGCAGAGCCGGGCCATCGAGCGCCTGAAGAAGAAGATGTTTGAGAATGAGTTCTTGCTGCTGCTCAATTCTCCCACTATCCCGTTTCGGATCCACAATCGGAATGGAAAGGTCAGGAAGGATGGGGTGGGATAAAGATAGCCCCTACCTCAGTCCAGGACTGTCTACTCTCTGTGACTCCTGGCCCTCACCTGTGGGAATCAAGGACTCAGGTGCCCACTTCCCAAGGAGGCTGCCGTGGCTCCAGCCCTGGACTCCCTCTCCCCACTGGTATGGAGCCAGTGCATTCTGCTGGCCATCCCTGGCACTGCCACTCCTGTCACTCGGCTTCCCAGGAAAGAGGCCACCATTCCCAGCTGTCTCCTCCAAGCTCAGGGATACCTGGATAAAGAGGAGCTTTATTGGGGGCCCCAGAATCCAGAAATATGCTTGGCCCAACTGTGGTCGCCCCACTGAATTCTCATCTCCTCTCTTCAGAGCTACCTGTTCCTATTGTCCTCGGACTATGAGAGGTCAGAGTGGAGAGAAGCAATTCAGAAACTACAGAAAAAGGGTAAAGTCCTGCCTCACTCTGTGTTGCCCGGATGGTGTCCATGGCAATAATGGGCCTTTTGTATTTCCAAGCATTTGATGCTCAGTATCTTTTCTTTGGCCCTTACCGTCACCCTAGAAGATGCGAGGGAGTTGGCGCTTCATTTATGTTACTGATCGATTGGGATCCAAAGAATTTAAGTGATTTGCTTAAGGCATATGATGAATTAGTGATAGGACTGGACCCAGAGCCCAGGGTTCTTTTGCTGTTTCTCTCATTCTCTCTCACACACATACATGAACCTGTTCAATTAGATTCTTCTGTTTTTACCCCTCTGCCAGCACCCGCAATAGTCCCCATGGGTCTACATGTCTTTCCCTCCCCCACAAGGACTTTGCCTCTAGCAGTATGCTGTCTTCCTGCAGCAGCCCCCAAGGAAGAGCAGCAGGACCTAGTGGACCAGTGCTGATGCTACCTCCTCTCTTGGCTTCTCTTTCAGATCTCCAGGCCTTTGTCCTGAGCTCAGTAGAGCTCCAGGTGCTCACAGGATCCTGTTTCAAGCTTAGGACTGTACACAACATTCCTGTCACCAGCAATAAAGACGGTAAGATCTGGAACCCAAGGCTGCCTAACCAGCAGGTCCCAGCCCCCAGGGCATTGCTGAGGCCTTTTGCAAGGACCCAGACAGACACGTGGCTGCAAATGGCTAATCTCTGCTCAACTGGGCTGGGTCTATTCAGTTGCCAGGTACACAGAAAGCTTGAGTAGGGGTTACTGTCTGTTGAGTCCCCAGGTGACCCCCAGCTCTTCCTCAGCCCCCCTGTGGCTTGAGAGAAGAACCTGGCACTCAGGTGCACTGGGATCGTGTTGTTTTATATGTTCATGAGGCAGTCTGATAATGAAAGCAAAAGGCTGAAGCATGGGGCAGCGGGGTGGGGGAAAGAATAAGGTAGATGGATTAGAGCAGTACATGAGAAATAAGGTGGGAAGTTTCCAGGGACCAGATCTTGGAAGGCCTTGAATGCCAAGCAAGGGAGTTTGGAGTTTCTGCTGTAAACTGAGGAAACTACGGGAAGTTTCTGAGCAGGGGGGAGCTGTGATCCTGGCTGACAACTGGCCCAGAGTGGGTGGATTCTAGCTGCCCATGGTGCTGGGAAGGGGTATATACCCTGTGTCCTATGCAGGGGGCCGAGCTGGGCCTTCTCTCTTCCAGGAACACAAAGTGACTTTTCAGGGGGTGGCTGATTAGAGTACAGTACTGATCGCACCGAGGTCCAGGATTTGGATCCTCTTACCAGACAGCTGCCAAAAAAAGTGACTTATCTTATTGGTCAGTTTTCACTTTCAAAGACAGCCATGGGAGGAACAGTGTCGCTGGGGAATGGTACGAAATCCCTGGCCCAGGACGGTAGTTGTGGGCCGTCCTCCCGGGCTGAGTGGGGGGAGAAGGGCCCCCAGCACTCCCCAGAGCAGCACACATTGAGCAGCTCACATCGGAGGAAGCAGTGGGCTTTGGAGACTTTTCCAGCCGGCCACCAGGTGGTGCTGTCAGCCATGGCTCAGGCTGTCCTCCAGCCTGGGGTGGAGGAAGGGGTGAGCCTCTCTCCACCCCCTACCCTGGGGGCTTTTCTTTCTTGTAGACGACGAGTCTCCGGGGCTGTATGGCTTCCTGCATGTCATCGTCCACTCTGCTAAGGGATTTAAGCAGTCAGCCAGTAAGTGCCCCTGACCCACCAGCCCTGGGAAGGGTTTATCTTTTCACAGAAGGTCCCTGTGGACCCATTGTGGGGACCTCCGGTTGCTCACTTGTCCTGCTCTGGTCTGCCCAGGCTGGGGCTCTGCCAGCATGCCTTGAGATGTGTGGTGCGCCCCCAAAAGCCAGGAACCAGCTTCTCTTGGTAGGGGGATCACCCCCACCCTCTGTCTCCAAGGCCCACTCTCCCCCAAGCTTCTCCTCCAGGTGTCTGAAACCTTGGAGCTGCAAACAACTGGACTCCAACCCTGTATCTGCCAGTTATAAGCTGTGTGACCTTGGGCACGTTTCTTAACCTCTCTGAGCCTCAGCTTCCTTCTCCATAAAAGGCAGTCACACTCACTAATACTGACCTGAGAGCAGACTTAGATATGACCGCGTATGGGCAGTGCCAGCGCACTGCCACACATCCCTTTCCTTCCCCTACTTTATCGTCATCTACGAAGTAGCACTATAGATTTAGTAGATCTGTTTCTAGCATTTCACAAAATATGACTACATATTTTGTCTACTTTTTATTCACACAGGAATTTGTGAGTCAGTCAGATAGCTAATAGTTTCTACCCATTTACCAGATGAGGAAGCTGAGTCCCAGAGAGGTAAAACGACTTAACATCACACAGAATCAGCAACCCAGGGCTCCTGACTCCTTTCCTCTCCGCCTGCCCCCTCCCAGTCCCTTCTCTTCCTCTCTGGCAGGCGAGGCCTGCCCCAGCCTCTCTCCCTGCAGTGCACCATGCAGAGGTTATGCCAGTGGCCCACAAATAGCCATTTGATCAACATTTACCATGAAGCCTCCCTGAGTTCCTGGGGTGACTCAGCCTCCCCTCCCCGTGTCCTCCTCATACTCAGGCAAAATGTGGTTACAGAACCTGTCATGCTGTTTTGTCACTTCTAATTTGCTTCTCCCACTGTGAGTTCTTTGAGGGCAGGAACCAGGTCTCCTTTATCCTTGGATGAACAGGAACTCAGAAATACTGAATGAAGTAGTTAATTTATAGAGCGCCCACTGTGTACCTGGGGAAAACAAGAACGTGGCCAGAATGTGGACAGTGCCTTGGCCTGTCCAAAGCCTGTTCAGGTTCATTACATGCTCTGATCCTCTGACTCCCTCTGAGGTCACGGATATCATTCCTGTTTTTCACATGGTGTAGCTGAGGCTCAGAGGGCTCAAGGGACTTGCCAGGGTTGCACAGGTCATAGGTGGTACAGTAGAATCCACACTCTCCCCTTAGACCATTTCCAGGAGTCTGGCCAGGACCACTCACTCATCACTTGGACTGCTTGTTAACATGGCAGCTTCCTGGACCCTCCCTGAACTGATAGAATCTCCTTCTTGGGAGCCACTGCTCAGGAGTTTCCCTGGTTAGTAAGCTCCACAGGGCTGATACATGGCCAAGTCGGCTCGGTGGGCCAGGTGCCTCCCACCTCCACAGCGCCCAGCTGTCTTGCCCTTCCTCTCTCTCCTGCTTCCTGTTGGCTGGGATGGGCCCCAGGGAGCAGGCCCATGGAGCTGGAGCAGGTATTTTGCCTCCCAAACTGGGGCAGGTGGCTAGAAACAGGGTGAGCTGCCACAAAATCTCCCCTTACCTCTGGATTATCTTCACTTCCTTCTTCTGCCCCCTGACCCCCTTAGGTATTCATTATGACTCGGTATTCATTATGAATCTTCAACCATGGCCTCTTGTCCTAGTGAGTGCGTTACATCTGGACAGTCAGGCCTAAGGTGTGGGCACCACTATTGTTCCTCTTTTACAGATGACAGAACTGGGGGAGAGAAGTTAGGTGACTTGGGCACAGCCAGGATTTGAACCCAGGCAGCCTGACTCTAAAGCCCCACTTTAATCCCATGAGCTATCCCCCAGCCCCGATGGAGGCTTCACTTCATGCCCCTCCACCTCTCAGCCACACAGACCCACTCCTGACCTGGCACAGGCTGGGGTGCTCGGGCCTCCGGCACTGTTCACCTGTTAATCTGTGACCATATTCCAGTGTGTTCTGACACCCATTTGGCTCTGCTTTGTGTTGCACCCAGCTAGAGACTTCTTAGGGTGCAAGCTGCAGTCTGCCTTCTGCAGGAAAGCTCTTCAGATAGAGAGCAACCCAGCTGGGCAACTCCTGGAGCTGAGTGGAGCAGGCAGCCTGAGCTGTACGTCCACCCTCTGACCTCTGCCCCTTACCCCTTGATTCATGCAGAGGGTTGGCTATAGTGCCTCAAAGATATGCCCAGCCCCACCAGTACCCTGGGAAACAACCCTGGCAGCTCCCGTGGAGGTGGGGAGGGCTGCCAGAGTCTAAGCCCCAGAGGGAGTGTGTGGATTTGCAGCGTGCCTGGGGTGGGCACCATGCAGTGACCTCATCAGTTGGGTCCCAGGGTAGAGAGGAGATTTTCAGCCTATAGGCCATGGTTCAAGATGGAAACACAAGGAAAGTCCTCTGCCCCCTGCCCTCCTGCCCTCCCCTCCACTACTTTGTTACCTTGGGTAAGAGTTTCATTCACACATCCCGCAGACATTCACTGTGTGCCTACTGTGTTCCAAGCTCTGTTCTCAGTACCAAGGGTGTGCCAGTAGATAAGAAAACCCAGGGCTTCTACCCACCTGGAGTTTATATTGTGGAGGGAAGAGAGACAGTGAACGCACAGACAGCAAAGATAACTTCAGTTAAAGTTAAGTGCTTTGAAGAAAACAACAAACTGAGCTTTGGGGTTGGGGGCATTCTTGGTTCTCGCAGTGACTGGAGGTTACTCCAGGCATCAGGACCCAGAGGCCAGGGTTGCTAAATGCCTTCCAGTGCCTCCCAACTCAAATGCCAGTGACATCCCTGTTGAGAAACCCTGAGATTGGTGTTGCGGGGAGTGAAGACCTGGAGGTGAGGCAAGACCTGGAGATGAGGGCTCCATGGTGAGGAGGAACCAAGCAAAGACGGGGATGAGGAGACAGAAGCTCTGGTGCCATGTGCTGGGAGTAGCTCAGCACTCAGGAGGCCAGGGCTGCAGGGAGGAGAATGCCACGATGCTTCCCCATGGGGATGTTGGGAAGGACACACGTAATGTCCCCCTTCCTTCCTGAGCCCCTCACCAGCACCACCCTACCCTGACCCTGTTCCTGGGCCTCTCAGGGCTTACTCAGTGTGTCTCTGTCCTTCCCCCTGCAGACCTGTACTGTACCCTGGAGGTAGATTCCTTTGGTTATTTTGTCAGCAAGGCCAAAACCAGGGTATTCCGGGACACAACAGAGCCCAAGTGGGATGAGGTGAGTCAAGGGGGTTGGTGTCCCTGTGGGGAGCCCTGAGTTTGTCACCAAGCATGCCCAGCCCACTCCCTGTGCTCACGACCTGTCTGCTGGGGACAGCCAAGCCTCTTGGTTAGACCAGCTCTGTCTCTCTAATGCCCTTGACTTTCACTCCTTGCGCATCTGGTTTAGTGAACGCACAGACAGCAAAGATAACTTCAGTTAAAGTTAAGTGCTTTGAAGAAAACAACAAACTGAGCTTTGGGGTTGGGGGCATTCTTGGTTCTCGCAGTGACTGGAGGTTACTCCAGGCATCAGGACCGAGAGGCCAGGGTTGCTAAATGCCTTCCAGTGCCTCCCAACTCAAATGCCAGTGACATCCCTGTTGAGAAACCCTGGGATTGGTGTTGCGGGGAGTGAAGACCTGGAGATGAGGGCTCCATGGTGAGGAGGAACCAAGCAAAGACGGGGATGAGGAGACAGAAGCTCTGGTGCCATGTGCTGGGAGTAGCTCAGCACTCAGGAGGCCAGGGCTGCAGGGAGGAGAATGCCACGATGCTTCCCCATGGGGATGTTGGGAAGGACACACGTAATGTCCCCCTTCCTTCCTGAGCCCCTCACCAGCACCACCCTACCCTGACCCTGTTCCTGGGCCTCTCAGGGCTTACTCAGTGTGTCTCTGTCCTTCCCCCTGCAGACCTGTACTGTACCCTGGAGGTAGATTCCTTTGGTTATTTTGTCAGCAAGGCCAAAACCAGGGTATTCCGGGACACAACAGAGCCCAAGTGGGATGAGGTGAGTCAAGGGGGTTGGTGTCCCTGTGGGGAGCCCTGAGTTTGTCACCAAGCATGCCCAGCCCACTCCCTGTGCTCACGACCTGTCTGCTGGGGACAGCCAAGCCTCTTGGTTAGACCAGCTCTGTCTCTCTAATGCCCTTGACTTTCACTCCTTGCGCATCTGGCTTCTAATCACAGTGCTTATGGCACTGGGGTTCCAGCTCAAGCCCTCAAACTCTGTTTCACCAGTGATGTGGAGGCTCCTGAGAGCTCCAGAAAATGAGGATGCTCCTCCATGTC